AACTATACAGTTTTTAACATTGTCATTCATACCATTTTATTGTCAGAGGATGGATGTATATTTTTTTACTTGCATTTTTACATGCTTTCGAACTGCTAGGTTGGCAGAAGCTGGGACAAATAACAGGAGCTCATTCCGTTATGCGGCACTAGGGATTTGAACCACCAAACTGCCAACTTTTCTGATCGACAAGCTCAGCGTCTTATCCACTGAGTCACCGCGTTCCTTAATAGGCTGCCTACTCTGCCACAAAATATATACATCCATCCTCTGACAATAAAATGTTATGAATGACAATGTTAAAAACTGTATAGTTTCATGAAAGAATTCAAAGCCATTAGTAATATTAATTTTGTATTTTTCCTTTACGAAATATTTCCTTTTGTAAAATTCACTCATTTTTCTCTCACACTATTTTTTAATGTTCCACATTTAGAACATGCAAGTCGCTTACTGTCCTGAAAATGGCTTAATGAGCAGTTTGCAGGATTATTGATGTCAATTTTGAGGAATGAGGATAATTAAAATATATCATGTTGACAAGAGCTAATGTTCCAAAATATTAGTTAGTTACTTGTCCCTTCCTCCTTTTTTTAAAGAGCAAAAGTGTATTTATGTGCTGAAGGAGAGAATCACTGCAAATTGCCAATTTTCCTCTCTGCTTTTTTTGAAGAAAAAAAAAACCCTCATGTTAATCCCATCTTGTTTCATGGCGATAGAATTGGGAATTTGGGGAGGGGAGGGAAGGTTATTTCTTTATAAAGTAACTTCATGCATGAATCTCCTAGGGGAAGAAAATTGGACAGATTGGAGACAAAATTGGATACTTTCCACCAAACTTTATTATCCGAGTCCGTGCAGGAGAACGCGTGCATAAGGTCATGAGGTCTTTTGTGGGCAACAAAGAAATTGGTCAGATTACATTAAAAAAGGATCAGGTATGTCTCTTTGAAGTACTTTGTTCAGATATAAATAAATGTTCCTCCCTCCCTCACCGTTCTGAACAGCCAAAAACAATGATAACTTTTACAACTTTGAGCTGGAAGGTCACATTCACTGGAAAACTGCTCCCTATTTTTCCACAAATTGATCTTATATATCCCATCCTTTTCTGGCAGAGGATTTAAAAGTTAAGTAAACAAAGGCTACAACAGCACAATTTATCTTTCTTTCCCCCTCCCACCCACCCCTGCAATTTTTTTCTGAAATTGAGAAGTGGGATTTTTAGTTGTGTTTTCATCTGATAATTATCACATAAGCCAGAGCTAGGGGGAGAACAGTTTAAAAAGAAATTGATCATGTTTAGATTTCCCAGGGAATCTGGGTACATGATAGTTATAAAACCCAGCTTTTTAAAAACACGTCGTTTAAATCAGGGGTCTCCAACCTTGGCAACTTTTAACTCCTGGCTGAGGAATTCTGAGAGTTGAAGTTTAGTTTAGTTTACCTTGTACAACGAAATTAAATGCGATCTGCAGTGTACAATGACAGTTCAGGTTGTGGCTGTTAAGGAATCATTTGCAGTCATTAAGCACAACATCAGATGGTGGCTGGTTTCCTCATTGACTTGACTTATTGGAAGCTGGCTTGCCAAGTGCCCCAGTCATGATCCTGTGACTGCGGGGATACTGCGACAGCCACAACTTTAAAAACCAGCCATAAGTCTTCTTGTTGAGCACTGAAATCCACCAGTTTTAACGTTGCCAAGGTTGGTCTAAATAACAGCCCCCAACCAATTCTTAGTTTTTTTCTTTCTAAACTCAGGTCATGTGCTACTTATTGGCAGGTCCTCCCCCCTCCTTCCCTCTATATAAATGCACAAGAACTCCTTCCTAGAAAATGTGGTAATCTGCTCGGGGATTCTGCCTCATCTAACATCTCTTATCCTCTTATAGATTGTGGTACAGAAAGGAGAGGAGCTGAATGGGTATGTCAAAGTCTACACTGGCCGCAAAGTGGGACTCTTCCCCGCGGACTTCTTGCAGGAGATCTGAGCTCCAACCCTGGCATTCACAAGGATTTCATAGCCGAGGCCAGAGACGGCCAGAGTGTTTGAGTGTCCGTTACCAGCTGCCAACGCTTCTCTGCAAGGAAGCGGAGTTTCTGCAGGTCTGTGGTCCAGATGCTAAGGCATCACAAGATGGCCTGGATTCAAGGCAAGAAGCTTATCTATCTGGCCCCGGAGAGGACTCAAGTGCTTCTCTTGAACTCTGCACTTGGCTGCTGGCAGATTCCGGAATGGGTTCAGCCATTGCCCCTTTACGATATTGTCATGAAGGTGCTGGGACGCGGCCAAAGCTGCTCCACTTCCTGTCTGCGAAGAAAGTAGTGATTGGACAGATTGATTGACAGAATTGACAAATGGCAAGAGTTACTGCTGCCGCCCCCTGTAGGTGGCACTAACATGTGCATGCATTTACTTCAGGATATGGCTGTCCCTTTGCTGGCAGAGGGGGAGCCTGGCTCCTAGTTTACTTGGATGGCATAGATTCGGTTACGTTTTGCCAATAATATCTGTTACCCTTTTCCATCTCTCGCCTATCTGTGTTGATGCAAAGCAGCAAGTTTCTGGATTAATAGAGAATATTTGACATGAGGGGTCCTTGGTGCTCTCCGATCTTGGTTGGTTTTTTTTTTTTTTAAAGACATTTCATTACCTAAACTAGGTAACATCATCAGTTGTAGCACTGGTGATATTACCTAGCTTTGGTAATGAAACATCTGCCAAACACACACACACACACACACACACACACACACACACAAAACCAAGCTGAGAGAGCTCCAAAGACCTCCTAATTTCTGAATTTGCTGTCAATTGCTGGGAGGCTATGGAATTGTTCTGCTCTCTTAAATTGAACTGATATTTATATCACTCTTGTTATCCTCTTCCACTTGTTTTGATACCTTCAAGCTATTGTTCGTGACCCAACAAATGCGCGCCCGACAACAGTGCGCCGACAAAATCGCGGTGATAAAACCGCGACGTCGACAGTGCGCTGATGAATGAGCACAGAAGCGCACTGACAAAAGAGCGCCAACAGAAGCGCCATTACGATTAAGGTAAGGGTTAGGGTTATGTTTAGGTTTAGAGTTAGAGTTAGAGTTAGAGTTAGGGCTAGGGTTAGGGTTAGGGTTAGGGTTACGTTTAGGGTTAGGGTTAGGGTTAGGGTTAGGGTTAGGGTTAGGGTTATGTTTAGGG